CATGAACCATGAGATCATGACCTGAGCTGAAGTCGGACGCTTAACCGACTGAGCCACCCAGGAACCCCTCCAGGGTTTTTTTTATTACCCAATTTATGGTCTATCTTGGTGAGTGTTCCTTGTGCACTTAAAATTTCTACAGGTTTTTCTTTGCTTTTTCCTCCTTAGCAACTCATTTGTTGAGGACTTTTTGCATGTGTGTGTGGTTGTATCCTTTTGATGACATTTAATATGTTTCTTTATCTACATTTTGGGGAGCATCTGTTATACCTAGAGCAGGCAGTGGTCCTTACACTTAAGTGTACATCAGAATCATCTGGGAAGTTTGTTAGATTATAGATTGCTGAGCCCCATCCCTGGGGTTTCTGATTTGGTTAATATGGGGTGGGGACTGAGAATGTGCATTTCCACCAAGTTAACCTAGTACTAGTGAATGCTGCTCATCTGCGGACAGAACTTTGAGAACTATAGCCCTGGTGCAGTTTTGCGACCTTGTCATTAGTGACATTTTGAATTGGATAGTTCTTTGTTGTTGGTGCTGCCCTGGGCATTGTAGCGTGTTTAGCAGCATGTCTGGTCTCTACCCACCAGGCGCCAGTGGTACTGACCCTTATTGTGACAAGCAGAAATGTCTTCAGACTTTGTCAAATGTGTCCCAGGGTTGATAGGGACACTCACCCCCATTGGGTACCACTGCTATAGGGTAACTGGGAAGAACTCTCATGTCCATATCTGTAAGTTTTTTTCTTTTATAATAGTTAGATTCTCCTTGGAGACACTATAATATTATAGTCTTCCTGCCTGATGGTGAAGGCCCCCCTCCCTGCATTGTCTCATCGATGTGAAGTGAAGGGGGAAAGACTGACAATGTATTATGTCTGCGTTTAATCTTCATTTTAGTGTGTACTCCTGCTTTCAGTGTGCCTTGTGCGTTCTTTAGTCCAAGGACTTTGTTCCCTTTCTAGAGAGGAAGAAAATCCTCCAGTCTTTTGTTGGGCTTGAGGAAGCAATTGCTTGCTTAGAGTATGTGTCTTGTTTCTGAGGCTTTGAAGTAATCATCATTGTTTTAAGCCTTAGGCATCTCTCACTTCATTACCCCCTGCCCTCAGCTTCTGGGGGTACCAGTATTGGTCTTCTGGGAATTCTACATATGCTGGGGACTGATCTAGCTATTAGCTTTCTGCATTGCCAGTTCAGGGTTCAGTTCTCTTGGGTCTGCTAAATTAATTGACCCAGGTGTCCAGCTGATGTCCAGCTTTAAAATTGTCTTCCATTTGAGACTAAAAGGTCTCAATTTGTTCTGTCATCTCTTTTTGCTAATCCTATCTCTGAAAGAGATTTGTATCTGGACTACATAAAGAATTTTTGCAACTCCTTAATAAAAAGACAAGTCAGTTTCAAAAAGGGCAAAGAATTTGGATAGTTCTTTAAAGAAAATGTATAAGTAAGCACATGAACAGATATTCAGTGTCATTAGCTATCAGGAGAGTGCCAGTCAACACCACCAGGATGGCTATAATTAAAAAGTCAGGTAATAAATATTGGTGAGGATGTGGAGAGATTGAATCCTTATACACCACTGGTGGGAATGTACAATGGCACAGCCACTTAGGATAACACTCTGGTGGTTCCTCAAATGGTTAAGACAAAGAGTTACCATATGACCTGGTAATGCTACATCTAGGTATATACTCAAGAGAAATGCAAACCTATGTACACACAAAAACTTGTATATAAATGTTCATAGCAGCGTTATTTTATAAGAGCCCAAAGGTGGAAACAACTCAAATGCCCATCATTTGATGAATGAATAAACAAAACATCATATATCCATACAATGGAATATTATTTGGCTGTAAAAAGTAATGAAATATTGATACATGCTACAACATGAACGAACCTTGAAAACATTATGCTAGGTAAAAGAAGCCAGTTACAAAGACCACATATTATATAATTGCATTTATGTGAAATGTCAAGAATAGAGAAATCTATAGAAAGTAGATTAGTGGTTTCCTAAGGGTTGCAGTGATGAGGGAATAGAGAGGTGATACCTAAAGCGTACTGGTTTCTTTTAGAGAAGATGAAAATGTTCTAAAATTGTGTGATGATTGCACATATCTGTAAATATACTCAAAACCACTGAACTGTACACCTTAAATGGACAAATTGTATGATATGTGAGTTATACCTCCTTAAAGCATTGGAAAATCCTTTACTATTTTAGTGGGGATTTGACAGAATGTAAATATAGATGTATTTTTTTAGTCTGGCACCTTACCTTCAAATCCTAAAATATGCCAAAATGCTATATAATTATAGGTTAGACAAACTTTCAGAATGACATTGGAAGGATATTAAAGATTCTGAAAAGGTAAGATTTTCTTCAAGGTTAAGAAACACAAGTCTAAATTAATCTCATTTTACATATAAAATAGATTATTGTTTAGCTGGGTAGATTGGTCCTTGAAGTCAGACTTAGGTTTGAATCCTAACCTGGCAGTTAATTAGCCAAGTCATGAGAGGAGAGGGCCATATTAGAACCTTAACCTCTCTTTGTTTCAGTATCTGAAATAGGATTAAAAACCATCTATCTCAGAGTTATTGAGGATTAAAAAAGCTAGAGCAGTAGTAGCTACTATTTATTGACCCGTCAGTGTGCCTGATACTTGCATTTTATGTACATTTTTATTCAGTCCTTAGAAAACCACATGTTCTGCTCATTGTATTGTTATTATTTCTAGTAGCTACCAAAGGGAGAAATGAGATGTCAGTAATAGAATGGTTAAATTGTTGATTGGCCAAATTATTGATATGGTGTTTTAACAAAGATTTTTTAGTTATTTTGAAATTGCTTATTGTAGATAAAAGGAGAAAGGTCATATATTTTCAAATGAAGGAGAGTTCAGATGGAAAAGCTCCAAAATATTTACTGCAGCATAATTTTGCATTAGCTTTATGAATTAAAAAAAAAAAAAACAGTTGCTTACACTGAATGTTGTAACTTGATTATGGAAAATTTCATTCATACACAAAGGTAGAGTGTGATACGAACTTCTCATTTTCAACAATGATGGACATACAGCCTATCTTGTTTTATTTATATCCCTGTACGCTTTCCCTTCCCTGCCTTCTGCAAGATCTTATAAAATCTCAGAAATTATCTAACGTGGGGGTGTCTGGGTGGCTCAGTCGGTTGAGTGGCCGACTTTGGCTCAGGTCATGATCTCACCATGGCTCATGAGTTTGAGTCCCACGTCTGGCTCTGTGCTGTCCGCGCAGAGTCAGCTTCGGATTCTCTTGTCTCCCCTCTCTCTGCCTCTCCTCTGCTCATGCTCTCTGTCTCTCAAAAATAAATAAAACATTTAAAAAAGTTATTTAATGCATCGTCCCACTCATGACAACCAAAAATACTCCTTATATTTCTAAAACTTCCCTTGGTGATAGTGCCATCATCTGTTGAGACCCACTTTTGTAGGGTATTGGGGTAGAGTGGTTTAAAATGTAATTCTTTTCCAAATTTGGAGTGATTCCCTGAGGTAGTCTGTTCATGTAAATTCCTTGGCCTACTCACATGTCCTGATTTGGACAATGGAGTAAAGCCTAAGCACACAGGTGATTTTTATAAAAATATGAGAAAAGACTGATCTAACAGAGTAAATAAGGGTGTTTTTTTATGGTATGAAGATCTTTTTTCTGTGTTTGCATGTTATTCTTGTCCCTGGAAATCCTTTCTTCAGGTTTTCTTGGCTACTTCCAAATCTCTTTATTCATTGGAAAGCTTTCTTTAACTGCCCTTGTGCTTCCTCTCTCTCTGTACTTTGTGGTTTATTTGACTAACGCTGTGGAACTGTTTTCGTTCAGGGAAAGACTTTTGCTCTGTATCTTTGCCATATGGATAATACTTTGTGTGTGTGTGTGTGTGTGTGTGTGGATAATATTTCTTGTTAATAAATGTTGAATGAAAAAGTTGGGGAAGAAAGTAAGTATGGAATGCCAAGAATATGATGGTGGCTCTATATGTATTCAACTAGAATGGAGCAGGACTGGAGATGGACATTGGAGGCATAGATTATTGTAAACTGGGTAACAGCTATGTGTGGCTTGAACTACATTTAGTACCACTGATACAGAGAGAACAAGGATATTGGGAAGAAATGAACTGTTAGGACTTAGCAGAAAGTTCAATATAGGATATGTGTACTTACAGTAGAACCTTGGTGTTAGAGGTGAGTGAAATGTTAATACTCATTTCCTACTAGGATCAAGATACTGACAGAGAAAAGATGTATCTTTGTATCATTTGAATTACTGCCATATCTGTAGTAGGGGCCTTTTTGAGGTACCAGTAGTTATTAGACTGGGTGGTGCTATGCAAACACCTGTAATAATATTCACTTTGTTTTTTTATCTTACTTAGTTCAAGGAAGAAATCTCTAAACGTTTCAAATCACATACTGACCAACTTGTGTTGATATTTGCTGGAAAAATTTTAAAAGATCAAGATACTTTGAGTCAGCATGGAATTCATGATGGTCTTACTGTTCACCTTGTCATCAAAACGCAAAACAGGTATGTTTTTAGAAGACACGGAACTTTAAACTGTGAAAAAATGTTTATACAGTTAACCCTTGAATAATGCAGGTGTTAGGGCCAGCAACTCTTAAGCAGTCAAAAATCAGACTATACTTTTTGACTCCCCCAAAACTTTAATAGCTTACTGGAAGCCTTACTGGTAACATCAGCAGTTGATTAACACATGTTTTGTATGTTATACGTGTCATGTACTTCTTTCATACTATAAGCTAGAGAAAAAAAATACATTTATAATACTGTATTGCCTTTATTGGAAAAAACCCAAGTATAATAAGACCTATATAGTTCAGACCCATGTTGTTCAAGAATCAGTTGTATTTCTTTTTAAAAAATAGCCAGTCTTTAAATGGCTTTCTCTGCCATTACTATTCAAATAGTTTAAAATTCATTTATTTGCTGCTATTGGTAACAAATTAAAGAAGAAAAAAATGAATGTGATACAATAATGCTGATGCTTACACATTTGATATTTTAGGGACTTCCTCAGTATTCAGTCATATCTAAATTATATGAATTATAGGACAAATTATGTTTTTAGCTATGCTTTTTGTTTTAAGGGAGATTTTTGGACAAGTTCAGGGGTGTCTCATCTCCTTGGCAAACCACAAATGAGTAGCCATATTTCACTATCAGTTTTTAAGAGACCTTTTTACTGTGTATCACTAAGAAAAAATATTGCCAAAATCAATCTGTTGGTTTTCTTTTCACTTGAAATTTTTATATTTAGTGAAGGAGCTCTTTCAGACTTGTTTTTGGATATGGTAGTTTATCAATATTACTCTTCTGTGTACATACTGAAAAAATATACGTGAGATAAATTGGTTAAATTCTTCCTAACACTATCACATTGAGTGATTCTTTTGAATCACATTGTGACTTCATAAGCATTCAGGTTTTTGCACATGTGATGAAACTCTGTACTGTGTGGAGTTTGTGGTACAGCATTTCATAAAAGGTGGCTACAGTATTTTCTCCAGGAATTTCTTCCAAACTACTGATGCCCATTCTGCAAATTTTTATGCTAGATTTCCACCCCCCACCCCCCCATAGCAAATATTTGCTTCACTGATACAAAATTCATTCCTTCTTTTCCTGTTTCTGTGCTTTTCTGTGTACACAGTAACTTCACTAGTACCATTTAATGGTGAAATCTTTCTGAAGACACTTTATGTGGTATTAAATACAGCATGTCTGGTATAATCATTCATTTGAAGTCCTACAGAATACATATGTGCAGGCATGGCAATTGATGACTGGTTGTCAGCAATTGTAGGACAGATTTTGATTTCAGAAGCGTTATAATGAAAAAAATGTACATCTTAGAATCAATGAAAGAAGCAGTGAGTGTGATTCAGGACTCTTAACTGGTATCACATGGAAGAGGTTTCCTATAAAGTATCTTTATTTTTTTACCTGAAGATAATATTAAGTAATTATATCCATACAAGTTATTACTGGTATTGATTTTTCAGCCTGTTGTTGGTGAGGTCTCTTTATTTCTTTTAACAATTTCAAGAGGCTGAGTAGAACTGCCCCTCCCCCCACCTCCTCAAGAACTTAGAAGAAGGTACATAAAAAGTTGCTTATGGGGGTGTCTGGGTGGCTCAGTAGGTTAAGCATCCGGCTCTTGGCTTCAGCTCAGGTCATGACTTTGAGGTTCATCGGGCTGACAGGGCAGAGCCTGCTTGGGATAATCTTTCTCTGCCCCTCCCCCTCTGCCTCTCCCCTCCCCGTGCTGGCTGGCTGTCTCTCTCTCTCAAAATAAATAAATAAACTTTAAAAAGGTGCTTATGTAGTCAAGCTTTGTGGTGTGACTGGTCGTTGATTTCTCTTCTGTGAGGTGACCTATCTCCATATCTTACATTATCATGATTGAAAGTAATGAAATACTTAGGTGCATATACTGGAGGAGAAGGGGCAGTTGAAGGGTAGTTTAAATTGTATTAGGTTTTACTATGTTTCATTATAGTTCTTAATGCTGTTATCTCAGGGTATTTACCTTGTAATTTGAATTGGTCTGAAAACTTACACTTTTATTTCTGAGAATTCTGGAATTTCAGAGATTGTTTTAAAAATAATTAGCTCCACTGTATACACCATGATATGATTACTTTTCCTAGGCCTCAGGATCATTCAGCTCAACAAACAAATACCAGTGGAAGCAATGTTACCACGTCATCAGCTCCTACGACTAACTCCACATCTGGTTCTGCCACTAGCAACCCTTTTGGTTTAGGTAAGTGTCTTTAGTTATTTTATAGGGATAGGGAAAAAAAACTCCTTTTCACCAAGGGTAATTTTGGATAAAATAGAATGAAACATTAAATCATTTCCACAACAATGACTATAACTTCTATAACTTACTTCTTTAATTGTGGGTATTAAAAAAGTAGTTAGGAATACAGATACGCTTGGATAATTTATGTTTGCATTTAACAAATGGTAAATAAGTGACTTTTTTTTTT